AAAATGACATTTTCTAACGTCATCCTTAACAGAAGGGGTGATTTGTGGATTTCATGTAGTAGAGGGACTGATTTGCCAATGTTTCCGGTACAGGAGCTAATTTGCCACAACATTGCAGGTACAGGGCTGAATTGCACCTTCTGCCTTTTTTTTTTCTCTTTTGAAACCAACTTCTAGTATTTTTCTTTACAAATTATTTATATCACTTACAAACAAGATAACAGTTTTGACTTAGGATTCATGACTTTGTATCACTGAATCAGGGCAGATTGCTCGATTAACTTTTAATATTTAATATTTACATTAAATCTCAATAATATCAATAATACAAAGGTAAGTTGCATCGGATTACATAATTAGAAAAATTTTTTTTTTTTTTTTTTTTCTCTTTTGAAACTAACTTCTGTATTTTTCTTAACAAATTATTTATATCACTTACAAACAAGATAACAGTTTTGACTTAGGATTCATGACTTTGTATCACTGAATCAGGGCAGATTGTTCAATTAACTTTTAATATTTAATATTTACATTAAATCTCAATAATATCAATAATACAAAGGTAAGTTGCATCGGATTACATAATTAGAAAAATTTTCTCAAAATTTATTTTTTAATTTATAAAATTTAAATTTAAATTTTTTTCAAAAAAAATTAGACTTTTTTTTACTTTTTTAAATTTAATTTTTTTAAATAAATTCTGTTCACTCGTGCAACATGGATCTCATTCTTTGATGCGGATTTGTATTCGCATCAACTCAACATTTTTGTTCCTTTTTTTTTTTTTTTTCTGACATTTTAGTTACGCAATAGAAATTAGAAAGTCATTGAGTCAACCCTCTTCATGCTTGGTTGGCATCAAGGCTGTAATTGGTTAGAGGATAAGTTTTTCACGAAAGTTTTTATTGAAGGAGTATTTAAAAATGTATAATACGGAATATTATAATGTATTATAGAAAAAGTTTTTAAATTTTGTAGTAAAATTTTATTAAAGTTTTGTTAAATTATTAATTTTATTGTGTAATAAAAATGATTAAGTGATACTAATAGAAAAATTGTAGTAAACTTTTTTTCTAAAAAAGAAGTAGCAAAAATTTCTTTGTTTTTGTGTTGATGTTAACAATAAAATTTTTTCTATACACATTGATTTAATTTTCTTAAAAAATAATTAGGTATAAAAAATCATGTTAAAAAAATGAAGAATAAAAATATTATTTTTACTTTATTGATTATAATTTGAAAAAAATACATGATCTAACTCAATTTTTTAATTAATGAATATCAATTCTACCATACTCTTTTGGTTAGTTTTGTTTTTGTTATTTCGATCTATACTTGGTAACATGCGAACTCTTCTAGCAAAGTTAGCATGAGGTAAATCTTCATGATTTTTGTTAACTAATTATGCAGTTTAGTAACCAATTCTGTCATTTAGTTTATCATAGCTAGATACTAGTGTTTGTATTTAAGAAGTATTGTAATATGTTTTTCAATTATAAGACGAGATTATTCAAAATTTCCTCATGACCTTCTCTATTTTTCTCTTCGTTTTCTGCCTCTTCTTTCCCCTCACTGTTTCTCTTCTTCGTTTGTCAATTTCTTGCTCTTATCAGTCTTCTTTTTTAACATAGTTATAACGCAGAAAGGATTCTCTTTCAGCATACTTATGATCCGCCATTCACCATGTCCTTGTTGCTGCAGGGATTTGCACCTATTTGGATCTTGATAGAAGATATAAGTTATATAACCAAAAGGTATAGCAATATGAAGAGGCCTGTCTACATCCGATAATCATGATTCATGACCATGGCAAGTGTATTCCGTTCTGTTCCCCATTTTTGGCGAAAGCCCTATCGTCGGGTTCATATTTCTCATAGATATAGCAATGACACGGCTACAAAGAATTTGTATAGTGTACATCTAATCTAACAAGTACATAATCACCAATCCTGCAACACATGACGCTGGTGTAAGGCTAAATCAGAAGAATATTTATGAGAGGAATCACCATTTGAATCTGGGATTGTGTAAGCCTCAGATTTAACCAGAATCTATCCAGAATGGAGGAAAAATGAGATATGTAACAACAGTTTGGAAAGCAAATTTTCCATGCAAATCATTACAAAATTAGGTTCTGGTTACAAGCAGATGGGGACAATAAAAAGCTCACAATAAAATCACTCATCTAGCAACAAACATGATGAAAAAACAAAGGATGTTTGGACTGTGGTAATCTGTAGGAATAGACCCGATCATAGCATACATATGACAAATGCCTCACAGACACGTACAGACAGCAATTGAATAGAGGGTACAAAAGAAATCAAAATCACCCTGCAACTGTCCAAGTGAAATAATAAATGAATGAGAGTAGGAAGCTAAACTTTTTATTAGAACAACCTCAGTTACCCTCCTGAGTGGGAGACTGGAGTAGTTTCAAAACGCCCACCCTTGAACACATTAACAAACTGTTGTGGCAATGCATGCTCGATCTACAACATAAAACATCACAAGTTATCCACAGTAGTAAACTGAAGGGAACCAAATTTCTAGAATCTAGATAATCATTTTCTCAGTTTTATTAAGAAAATGTGACTAGCATAGCAACAACTTACAATTCAGGCATCTAAATTTCTTGAAATTCGGTTTAATTCCTTTACCCTTACACACACATCACAACTATGAGAAAAGAAAAACAGGAAAATTGCATAAATGTAAAAATGTCGCTACATTGTTGAGACAAGAAGATAAGAAGAGCATGAAGAACTATGCATTTCCTGGGGTATGCATGAACACAGCATGCAAAATGCTTGACCTGAATTAAAAAGAAGAAGAAGAAGAAGAACTATCCATTTCTTGGGGTATGCATGAACACAGCATGCAAAATGCTTGACCTGAATTAAAAACAAGAAGAAGAAGAAGAAGAACCATGCATTTCTTGGGGTATGCATGAACACAGCATGCAAAATGCTTGACCCTGAATTGAAGAAGAAGGAATTGAACTGTAATCAACACTCACCATTGGTAACAAGAGGGTGGAGCTATTTTTAGACAAGCACACATACACACACACACACATCACATTTCTATAAGTTTTAATGACAAGAAAATATATAGCAGTACAGTTCAAGTGACAGATTGAAATGAAACAGAAAGAACTAGCCAGCTTACCCAATCACCATCAGGCCCAGTACCAGGAACTAAAATATTAATCTCGCTTGCCTTTGCAGTTGTTATAGATGCCCCTAAAGATTCTTTGCTTAAATATAATTGACAGCCAGATGTGTTGTCCACTGAGATTGTTGGAGCTGAACCCTAAAACAATGAAGAATGGATAAATATGACCAGATCACACAATTAATAAATAAGTTATTATGTCCAAAATTAATTGCAAATCAATTATAAAAATGACCCCATGAAATCTAGCTCTTGTGAACATAACTAAGACATCTATAATCCAATAAAGGACAAGAAGAAAGATACCTGGCATTGCACCTCAACAGAATGGCAATTTACTACTTCACAAGCAGCCACAAGATCCTGATTATCCAAGTCAACATATATGAGGCTATACACTTTTAGGTATAATGCTTATAAAATCAGAAAATAGTAGTTATTACCCCTATTAAAAATATTTTCTACTAACCTTAAATACAACTCCCACCTTAGTGCACTTGTCCACAGTTATATTGTTTACTTTCCCTGCATATTGTCAGAATGATGATGAGTTGCTTATGAGCTAACACCTTTGTAGACTGTTTCTAGGACATAGCAAACTAGCACAAAATTGATCAAATGATGACTGGGAAAAGACATGTTCTTATGATAATAAAATTACCTTGAATCTGCAAAACAGAATCTTTGCACCCATAAATATATACTGTCTGCTTTGCATCACAGTCATTTATAACCAAATCCTTTTTTCCAATTTGGTTCTCAACAACCCACCTGTAAAGGGATACAGAAGTGGCACCAACACATTGCAAAGCATTCAGCAACTCCTTGAAGAAAGTTACAAAATGGTAATGGCAAAACTGATCATGCAAACTTACTTACGACCCATCTGAAGCTCTAGTTTTGGTGGACCTGTTTTGGAAAAAGAAGGAGATGATCTAGCACCAGTTTCCTTTTCACTTGCAGCAACAACACCAGTTCTGTCTGTCCAGTTCTTTGTCTTCATATCAGCTGTCACCCTCCTAAGACCTAAGAGTCAAAATCAACACATAAGCATTCTTCTATATCAAAAGAAATGAGGGAAGGGTGAAAGAATACGGGCGGAAGAAGTGGGAAGCACTCTATTACCTGAAGTAATGTTCCCTGCACTTATTTCTTGGAAAACAGCAGCCATGCCATCCTTTGGCTTCGATGACGAAGGCTGAGAAGATTCTGAACTGAAGAGGGAGGCTGGTGGAGGAGGTGGAGGAGCAGGTGCACCTGATCTTGGAGCTTTTGGTGGAGCAGGAGATACCTTTTTGCCAGAAGCATTCCATACTGGACCCAGAGGGTAATGGCTTTTGACATAATCCCGCAAACCAGGCAAATATAGCTCCTTCAAAGCTTTTGCCCACTCAACATGATTTGGATCTTTGTTTCTGTACCCTACAAGAACCTAAATTTTAAGAGACATGATATCAGCACCACACCAATCATTTTGCTAATATGAACACTGTATAAATTTGGATGGATGCAGGATGAAAGTTTAGGATACTTCATTGAACTCACAGCAGATAGTATACTACAATCAGGTAGTTCTTTCTAGTGAGTGATGTATAACCAAAAAAGATAAAAAGTACCTTGTTGTTGTAAAATTCAGCCATTTGCCAACTTTCTTCAACATGTGCAATGGGCATGCTCATGCCTTGGAAAAAAAAAAAAAAAGAAGATTATTACAAATTAAAGAGCAAGGACTAAAATCATATGTCATTGCCAAAGAAAATGATTAAAATGTCATTTTGACATAGCAAGTTCCACAAAATATTGAACAATGGAATGGCTTGCAAACCACCAGATTTTATGGCAGCGCCAGAGCTCATACTTTTTAATGAGGAGGAAGAAGAAGCTATTGAATAGTTATTTAGATTATTTAGGATTTTTATGTAATTATTATTATTCAAGTACACTAAACAGCCTCTAAATCCCCAAGCTCAACATACCCACTAACCTGTCCCGCATCACTTTTATTCTTTGCTAGTTAGGATTATTAAACAGGTGACTGAATATTGCAACTGTAGTGCTTAATGGCCTCTTCATTTTATGAAACTCCTATGCTGGGCAGCAATGTGCAAATGGCATGGCTCTATACTTTTTCTTACCACAATCTTTGCCAGCATATGCAATCCAAGCTAGAGCTGTCAGACTGTCTGCAGCAGTCTTCAAGTGGTTGAAAAAGTCAGACCGCCTTCCTTCTGTCATACTACTAGCTTTCATAATCACCTCATTCAATGGTTTAAGGAATTCAGCCAAGCCTGCCATGTCTGGTTTCTGAACCAACAGAACAAAATGCATCCAGCATTACCAACAGAATAGATCGCATTCCACATTATATGAACAGGACAGACATGCTAAAAACAATATGTAAAAAGGGGAATAAAGCAAACAGAATGGAAGAAAAAGGCCACTACTTTGTGATAGTAGCTAATTGCAAATTGCCTATAATCTAATGTCTATGCCTTTGCCAATCAATCACTCAAAACACCTTTTTAATTTCTAAAGAAAATTAACTAGAAAAGCCATCTTTTTCACAAATATTCAACTGCTCATTCAATTTATTAATTCAGATTTCACCATGATCATTGATCTACTCGATGATTCCTCAACTTCCATAACGTCTCACCACATCAGTTAGTATTAAAAAGAAAATCAATAGGCTAAATTAGTACTCTAGACTTGATGATTTCTTCAGAAATAGTTAAGTCCACAAAAGCAATATCCTGCATCCAGCTAAAGCAAGCAATGAGCATGGTCCAGATCAGATGCAACCCAGGATCATGTCATTTAAGCTTTAACAAGCTTTATATGCGTTCAACATGAATCTAATGTCCTCAGTTTCACTTCACATAACTCACCTCGAAATCTCGCGTTAACTGAATATCACTAAGCTCAAGCAAGCAAAAAGGAAAAAAAAAAAATCCGAACAAAATCACTAACCTGAGTTTGCTTGATCTTAATTAGAAGCTCTCTTTGCACAGAGAACGCTTCGGAAAGAATCTTAGTCACATCCAGCACCTGTCCTCCAATCTTCTCTGCGGCAGCTGAAACCCTAGCAACGTACTGAGACATGAAGTCATCAAATGCCAAAATCGACGGGTCCGTGACCGCTTCACCACCACTATCACAGGGAAATTCCCTCGAGACTCCCCCCGCCGATAGCCCCTCCAGCCGCGCTACCGCCTTCTCCAGCCTCTCTATCAACTTCGCCTCCATAACAACGAGCTCCCCCTCCCTCTCCCTCTCGCTCTCCAGAAATTCTGGTTTCTGAATCTGTAGTTTCTCTCGAAAGCAGATCTGTTTTTTAGTGTGTGATAATGGTTTTGGTACGTTTATGCGCTCCTTGTCTCAGGATATGGATGAAAAACTGTTTTTTTGTTTTTATTTTTTCTTCCCCGAGTGCCCTTTTTTTCTTAAATATATAGTATAAAAAATATAAAAATAAATATTAATTTTAATATTGTCGTCAATTTTAGAATGTAAGTTCGAAGGTTAATGAATTTTACATTAATTTTTGTTTTTTAACACAAAATTATAATAAAAAGTATATTTAGTATATTTTTAAATTGTGTTTTGAAAAAACTTTGTTTTACTTCTCTTTTAAAAAATTTTTAAATATGTAT